AAAAAAAAAAAAAAAAAAAAAAAAAACTTCCCAAATACACTTCACACTTCACAGAAAGAAAGAAAGAAACTAATTTACATTATTGAGATCATCTTCAGCATTAGATCCACCTCTTGCTTCTTCCTTGGAAGGACCATAAGACTTGCTACAGGCAAGAAAATACAAAAAATTAGCGAACAGCAAACCAAAAAGCAGCCAATAATAATAGTCACTGTGGCCCTGGTTGATGTTGCTGGAAACCCAACTCTTTACGCCTGCTGCTTTAGTGAAATTATCGACGATAGTCACTATAAAACTAGCAGCCAAGTTGCCTACAGACATGCTCAGCCCAAAAAGAGAGGTTGCTACACTGGACATGGCTTTTGGAAGCTCATAGTAGAAGAATTCAATTTGCCCGATCACGTTGAAAGCCTCGGCCATACCTAATAAGATGTAGCGTGGTAGGGTCCAAAATGCAGACATGTTTACCACAGCATCTGGGTCGTCGGAGAAGCCTTCCTTTATGGCTAAAGCACGTCGATTACTCTCGACGACTGCCGTTACTGCCAAACTGAAGGTGCACAAAAGAATCCCAATTCCCATTCTGGTTTTCCCACTGAGACGAGTTGGTTTTCCCCTGCAACTGGATACCAGAGGGAGGATCAAGCGATCATATAACATAATCCATAATATTAGAGAAACAACAAACACTGCACCAAACGAGCCTGCAGGAACTTCGAAAGTCGGGGTAAGGTGTCGATCCATAGATGCAACCTGGAGAACATAAAATGGTTGACTCAAAGCTGCACAAACAAGGATCCCAGTAGACCACAATGCCATTATCCGGATGAGTGTTTTCAGGTCTTCAACTTGTTCCACAGTGCATAGGATCCAAGGATTTGAAGCCCTCCCGTCTGAAGCTAGCTCGTCCTCGGAATTTCTAATGATGCACGCTTTGTTCAGAAACCTTGGAATCAAACAAGGTAAAATTGGTCTTTATCAAAATCCGAGTAAAATAGCTAATTCCTAAGGTTCTATAACAGCCCAAGCAGGCTGCGAGTAGACATATGGTCTACTTTGGCCCATTACATATCACTATCAGCCTCACAATCCACCCCCTTGGGGGCGTCCTCACTGGCACATCGCCCAGTGTTTGACTTTGAATGGTCCAAGCTCACCGCTAGTAGATAGTGTTCTCTGACCCGTTATATATCGCCGTCAACCTCACGATTTTAAAACACGTCTATAAGGAGAGGTTTTCACACCCTTATAAGGAATGCTTTGTTCCCCTCTCCAATCAATATGAGATCTCACAATCCACCCCCCTTGGGAGCCAGCGTCCTCGCTGGCACATCGCCCGGTGTTCGGCTCTGATACCATTTGTAATCGCCCAAACCCACCGCTAGCAGATATTGTCCGTTTTGGCCCGTTACGTATCACCGTCAACCTCACGATTTTAAAACGCTTCTATAAAGAGAGGTTTCCACACCCTTATAAGTAACGCTTTGTTCCCCTCTCCAATCAATGTGGAATATCACAATCCACCCCTGATGCTGGGCACATTGGTTCTGATACCATTTGTAACAGCCTAAGGCTACCGCTAGCAAATATTGTTTGTTTTGGCCCCTTACGCATTGCCGTCAACCTCACGGTTTTAAACCACATCTATAAGAGGAGGTTTCCACACCCTTATAAGGAATGCTTTGTTCTCTTCTCCGATCAATATGGGATCTCACAAGTTCCTCCTCGACATGAATGGTACCTTAATGGGTATCACTTGTTAAACGGAGTTAATTTCAAGAGCAAAATAGACGGCAGTCTAATGAACAGAAGCAAACAAAAACTCAAGTAGAATTTGGCATTATTAAAAGAACAGTTGTAAGCATCCTTAATCCGAAGTAACATGTCAGAGCATTTAGCCATTGGCATTATGAATGAGACAAAAGGGCATGCACTTTGTACCTTAACTTGTCACTTGGCATGGCAAGCGGTGATCCACTTTTGTGGTGGTACATTTCAGATGTGCCAGTAGATGACACTTGCATATGCCTCTTCTTATAAGCAGCAACGAAAACTTGCACAAGCCCAGCACACCAACTACTGCTAGGCATCGGCTTCAAATATAAGGGAGAGGCCAAGAGAAAAATCACCGTAGATAATAACATGAGTGCAACAGGAACTCCAAAGCCCACCCTCCATCCCATACGATCTTGAATATACACAATACATGACACTCCTATAAGTGATCCACTAGCAGATGAAACATAATATAAGTCGAAATAACGATCCAAAATGCCTGAATTGGATTTGTTTTTCCTGTGCAATTGATTTGCGCCAAAGGCGAGGTTGGATGATTGAAGGCAGCCAGATCCCATCGACATTAGTGCATAAGAAGAATATAGAAGCAATAGTTGAGCTATCGATGGGGTATCACAAATGGCACCATCACAGAAAGGCCTTGCTTGCGGAATCATTGCAGTTAGCCATAAAACAAACATCCCCTGTTACAAAAATTAACAAATAAACGATACAGCATTGTCAAACCAGAAGATCAAAGCGGGGAAAAAGATAAAGAACAAGAAGTTCAGACAGACATTCTTTCCTATGGGCAGTTTACACATCCGTTTCATTTATACAGTGTTCATCATCATCTCATGGGGGGTTCATAATATCGAAAAATGCCCAAATCAGAGTTTGAATGCTTGTCTCGTGAAAGAAACTCATAGAAATCAGAGCAATTTTTTTCTTTGTGCATGCAAAATCTTCTCTACATTGAAACATAAGATGATTATGTCGCTTCAAATTCAAAGTGAGGAATGAAAATTTCCCAACCTCTCTAACTGGATCATGCTTTTAGCTAATTATTTTGAGTTGGAATGGAACATCACAATAAATCGAACAATTCGAAGTGTAGAAAATCATCAGGTCTTACAAAATCGCCGAAAATAGAGAAATGGAACTATAAATTAGGGCAAATCTGTGCAAGACAGACAAGAAAAAAGTACCAAACAGCTGATGATACAGCCAGCCGCGATCATCCTAAACCGACCAAAATAGGAATCAGCGAGAAAAGCACAAATGATCGGAGTAAAATTTGAGGCAGCAGACCAGAGGAAGATGACATTGGAAGCATTGGCGGAGTTCATTCCATAAACCCTAGTCAAATAGAGTATCATACTCGGCGATAAACCCTGACTCGCGAGCCTCTCAAGTGCTCCATTAGCTGGTAACGAAGAACGCTTAGCTAATTTAGCAACAAACACAAGAATATAAAATCAGTTCTACTAGAGTTGATTACCGATAATGAAAGGCAAAGCTCTCAAGCCTCCTTTGCGATCAGAGTTGCTCAACAATGGCTCTTCCATGTCTCTATCTTCATCGGCAGCCAATGGACCTTCCATTACAGAACCAGAAACAAAATGGCGGTTAAATCATACAGAATAGTTGCAAAGTGATCAATAAATCGGACGAACAGTTCGTAATCTCCCGAAATCAAAGAAAGAAACAAGAGAAATTCATCGATCTGAATCTTCAATGCTGGCCGGCAATATTAACTTCCAATGTATCACACTCCCACAACTGATAGCGCAAATGAGAACACAAGAATTGAGCTTCTATTTCAGACCATGATTCAAAATTCATTGAAGCAATTACGGTGAGCATTCGCTGTCCACGTTTGGATACTCTATAGGTGTCACGACGACGATGACGAGGATGGCGGAGATTCAAGCACTACCTTCTCGGTTCATAACTGTTTTTTGTTTTCTATTTCAAAAAACTTGGACGTTTTTTTAAGCTTTATTTATTTATTTATTATTATTTTTTATACATTTAAATTCTTACCAAATTTAAAAAAAATAAAAACCAAGATTTTAAAACTATTTTTTAAATTTCCAAATTTAGCTTTGTTTTCTAAAATATATTTTTAAAAAATTAGGTAATAAAATAGTAAACTTAGATGTAATTTGGTTAAATTATAAATTTAATTTCCTTTTATGAATTTTAATTATATGTGGATAAAATTTTTAAAAAATTTAATATAAAATTAAAATTATAAAACCTATTATATATATATATGTATATATTTTTTAAATTTAGGAATGTTTTAGATATAGGTTTAGAGACTAAAATTATAATTTAATCTATAATAATCTTAAGCTTAAATATATTAAATATTTTATGATAAAAATATAAAATTTCAGATTTTTAATCCAAAATATAAGGAAAATAAATATGGAGAATAATGAGTGTAATTGAATTATTGTATTTCTTCAAAATTTAAATAAAGTAGCACACCATATAATTGTATCTATTTTTTTTTTAAACTTTTATTAATTAATTAAACTTGCATTATAACAATTTAAAAGCATGATTTAAGTCTCAATGTCTAAATACATACCAAAAAGAACCAAGTTTTTTCTTGCTTTTGACTCCACATCGGTCTCACAAACTATAAGCCTCTCCTTAATCGAGGCTCCACATGAGTCGCACAAACTATAAGCCTCCCCTTAATCGAGACTCCTTGCTCTGGAGCCCTCGAACAAAGTACACTATTTGTTAGACACTTTAGTCACAGGCTCACAATTCTTTATTCGATATTTGACTATAAGCCTCCCCATAATCAAGGCTCAACTCTTTGCTCTGGAGCTCTCGAACAAAGTACACTCTTTGTTAGATACTTTAGTCACAGGCTCACAATTCTTTATTCACAATTCTTTATTCGATATTTGACTATAAGCCTCCCCATAATCAAGGCTCAACTCCTTGCTCTGGAGCCCTCGAACAAAGTACACTCTTTGTTAGACACTTTAGTCGACTATAAGTCTCCCTTTAATCAAGGCTCAACTCTCGAACAAAAGTACACTCTTTGTTAGACACTTTAGTCGACTATAAGCCTCCCCTCAATCAAGGCTCAACTCCTTGCTCTGGAGGCCCTCGAACAAAGTACACTCTTTCCTTGCTCTTCAGTCACAGGCTCATAAAAGACTAAGTTTAGAGCATTACTCTAGTACCATGCTAGAAATCACGACTCTCCACAATGGTATGATATTGTCTATTTTGAACATAAGAAGATAGTATTCATCACTTATAAACTCATGATCTTCCACTAAATTAACCAACGTGGGACTTACTCCCAGTAATACTCACCAGTTTTGAAGAAGAGAAGAAAAAAAAAAAAAAACTTTAAATTTTAAGGAAAACTTTTAAATTTGGGTGTATAATTGAAATCAATTCAACTTTTAATCAATATGGCAATAACTTAATTAATTGAAATATATTTGAATTGATATATTAAATATATGTTATATTTGGTCAACTTTAAAGTAGAGATTTTTACGAGATAAGGATGCCTACCTCCTATTTGATTTCCCACGAGAAACTCCAATAAATTTAGTATTTTTAATATTCGAGTAAATGACTGTTTTATATATATATATATATATATATATATATATATATATATATATATATATATATATAT